GGGACATGAAAGGCGCTGTACACATGTAATTGGTTGTTCTTGTGGTAGGGATGGCTGGTTGAGGCTAGAATTTGTGGCGTGATCTTTAACATCCACCTGAACTGAACAGATGGGGAGTCCAGTGCTCCCTGACCCCCCCCACCCCAATCCCTGGAGGGCTGGGTGCCCCAGCTGTGCCGCTGTGCGAGTGCTTTGCTGAACCCCCCCGGCCTCTTCCCCGCACAGGTGGTACAGAACATGGTGGGCACGGTGCTGATCGTCCTGGTGGCCGTGGGCTACAAGACCAAGCTGGCGGCCTTGACCCTGGTCATCTGGCTCTTCGGCCTCAACCTGTACCTAAACAGCTTCTGGACAATCGCTGCCTACAGGCCCTTCCACGACCTGCTCAAGTACGACTTCTTCCAAACCATGTCCGTCATCGGTGGGCTGCTGCTCGTGGTGGCGCTCGGACCTGGAGGGGTCTCCATGGATGAGAAGAAGAAGGAGTGGTGAGCCCTCGTCCAGGAGCCCCTCCTCCATCTCTCTCCTCCTCCCCCGCCCCACTCCTTAATGTACAGTTACATTGTACATGCGCCCAGCGAATACATCATGGTGTCTCCACTCTCCCCCCCCCCCCCCACTCACTCAAACCTGGTTGTCACAGTAAACTCACACACCACAGCCACCTATTCAGGTCAGCGTATTTAAAAGAAGGAGAAAAATACTGTGAATCCGTGTAAAAGTATTTATAGTTCACACTTCAAATAATGGCTGTGAGGGAAACAAGATTCGCTTTTGCCACTCCCAACTCTGCATCCCCTCTCCTCTGCCCCCCCCCCCCCTTCAACACAGGAGCCAGTGACAAGTGACACACACACCCCACCCCCCTCACAGCCCAGACATCAGTGAATGTTTAGCTTCGTCTGGGACTGGCATCTACCAGGATATGTTGTTTCAAACGTGCAAGATATTTCGTAAAATATAGTCCTCATTCTCTCCCTCCCCCCATTGCTCTGATGCCGTACCTGGTTTTGTTCATTTACAGTTGCTCTGATCGGGCACAGCGACTGAGGTTATAATTGCGTTAGGAAGGGAGGGGTGGGTGGAGGAAAGAATTAGCAAGATTCCTGCTTCTGTTCACATGCAGACCCCACACCCTAACGTGTGCACATCGGGGAAAGGTGAAGCGGTTTGGCGAGTACAGGATCCGGGCTGCAATATCTCCCTGTGGTCCAGCTGTCCTGCCAACACTCGCTCACTCGCTCAACTCACTGCAGCCGCTTCAGGTGATGATAAATGTGCAGGGAGTCGAACAATTTGAGACTGGGTGGAGTCCTGCTGGAGTTGTGTGGGCAGCAGCAGCACCAAGTGTTAAAGGCACTTAACTACCAATTATATACACTGCGGCGAGCTCCGGTACAATGGCTGCCGTGGGTCAGTATTAGTCGGTGACTCGGGTTTTGTTTACAGGTTGCTCTATATTGGCACGTCACTTGCAGAGTGGGTCCGAGCTCCACGTTTGTAGCCGGTTGTATGAGTCACTTTCTGCCTCGTTCTGTGAAGCCTTGATACTCCCACCTCTCTTCCTCCTCCCCCCCTTTCTTTTCTTTGAAAATGTACGATTGTTCAGTTCGTAAAGTTCAAAATAAACGGTGGAATCTGCTCTTAGCTGTTTCTGCTTCACCCTGAAATCAATGACCTGTGTTTGATCAGTCGCCTACAGTGCCTCCTCTCAAGCTACTCTTTAGTGAACTGTTGTATTTGTACACTAGGCAAACAGACAGCGAGCGATGCTGCACAAACAGGTTTCCCCCGAATTAACGGGTGTTTTCTTGCTTGCTCCACAGAATCATACACTCGCAACACAGAAACCAACCTGATTTAATACTTTTTTTTAAAGCACCAGCCTGGGAGCGGGAATCCGGTCACCCGCTGTCCACAGAGCTCCACACAAACACTAAGTGTTCAACTTAGTTTACACCCTTTTCTTCCCCCACCCTCCCCTCACCGCACACACAGTTCCGTCTGCTGCCTTGGTGACTGAGTGACATCCTCAATGTCGGAAAGAATCATTACTGAAACTCTGCTCCACACGAGTCGGGGCCTTCCGAGGGGACATGTATTATCACACCCGACCGCTCACACACACAGATCTTCACCCCGACAGAAAGTTAAAAATCACTAACGGCTAAACTGCAACTGTCTCTGAGTAACAAGTCGCGGGCATCAGGCGCCCGACAACAAGACACCCAACGAGCCTCAGTGGTGGAACCCGAGGTACTGTTGAGTGGGGCCCGGATCAGGTACTGTTGGCTGCTCTGGGCCTGTGTTTACCCCTGCGGCTCCCGGGCTGTTGCCCGCGGCCATTCTTCAGCTTCTTACTGGAGGACGTGGGCTGTTTCTGTGGAACGGAATCGGTTTAACATCTGAGTTAGCAACGCACAGCAACCCCCACCCTAACCTCCCCCCCAACAAGCACAGTACTCAACTCACACAACCTGGGGGCGCTCAACCCACACCCGCACCTACTGTCAACCGCCAGGCCTCATCTCGACCCCATCCCGGTTACGCTGTCAGACTCCCTCACCGCCCAGAACTCACCTTTTTTCGTTTTCCTTGTGCCTGGCTCTCCACCTCCATTTTCTCACACTCTTCATTGTCGGAGAGAAACTCGTCACTGTCTTCCCCCTTCCCAGGTGCGTCTCTCTTGAATATCTCCTCTGGACCACAACGGAGAGGGGGGGTGGGGGTGATCAGAATTGATTCATTGAGAGAGGGCAACAGCACAGCCGACACCCAGGTCCTTTCAAAACAATTTGCATTTACACAGCACCCTTCACGTGGGGTAACGTCTCGGAGCAGTTAAAACTATGGCGACAATTGATTTGCGAGCATTAAATCTATTTATTAAAGGGCACACAAAACAGTCAAGATGTCCCTGTTTACTGTAGTGACTGTTTTCATAGGCAATAGTAAGTTACATTTACTGCATACAGTCTTTCACGTCAGGGGGATGTCCCAAAGCCCTTAAGATAAAGAGTCAGAGGGTGAGCTTAGGGGTGACCGGGGTGGGGGGAATAAAGAGGGGGTCCTCAGCCTGGGGGAGGGGAGGGAGATACTCACTTGGGTACAGGTCACTAAGGCTGTCATCTGAGTCTGCCTCCTCCCCTTCGCTTGAGTCCGGCTCCCAAAGCTTGTGTCTGTCTCCTGCCTTGTCAGACCGATCCCGACGCTTTTTGTTCTTTCCCGACATGCAAGCTGGGACGTACGGGATTCCCATCCTCTGGCATTCTTCGTCTGCGTCAGAGAGAGAATCACAGAGAGAGAGGATGTCAAGATTGAGTCAATCCTCTGCGGCAGTCTCGGTTTTCTAGTTTCTCAACCAGGCTGGTCTACAGAACTCCAGACTCATCGGAAGGACCTGGAGGAGCAGATCAAGAGCAGAGATTCTCCCTCTCAGCTCCTGTTTACCCTGCAAGCCAATGGTAGACCAGTGACTGGGTCGGTATCCTCCCACTCAGCTCCTGTTAACTCTGTAAACCAAAGCCCTAATGGGTAGGGTGGTAGGCTGGACAAGCAGCGGGAAAGCTCGCCAGACACTGTGCTCAATGGCTGGTTAAACTCCCAACAGTACCCGAATGACAAGCCTGGGATCCCCAAGCCTTGGCTCTCGCCAATCTGCGCCTCATACTCTCTGCCATTTAGGTAAGCAGGGTGGAACCTGTAGGGAGAGAGTGCCAGACACAGCAAAATTTTTATATGTAGGTGGTGTACACATGTGAAACTCTCAATATGGTTTGGATACTCTTTAAGCACGGTGATGGATTTCCACACATGGCAGACACCGGCCGACCAAAAAACTGTGACAAATCATCCCTTAGTATCACACCACAAGAGTAAACACAAGAGTGAGCTACAGGCTGGATTCAAGTCCAAGAGGTTGGTAAGCGAAGGGGTGGGGTGGGTGGAACTGAAATCTAATCCAGGGTGGGGGGGGAAGAGAATATGTAGAGTAAGGGAACCTACAACTCTCAGGATCCGATGCTGGCACAGAGCCATGGGGCAGCGGGTGGTCTGACTGTAACTACATTGTCCTTTTAAACACTGAAACCGTCGCTAATCTGCAAAGCTCTTGGTTTCATCAGCCTAGAGTTGAGTGCACGAGGGAGGTGCCGGGCAGACTTACATTGGTGCTGTGCCTTCTGGTATCTCTTGCCATTGACGTGACGGAGAACGTGTTGAGGAATCCTGTTGATGTGCCTCAGCGTCAGTTTACAGAACAGCTGCTGCCTAAAGTCACAGAGCAGAAGGACAGCAATTCACGGTTCAAAACTTTACAGCACAAAAAAAATAAGAGTGTTTCAATAACAACAACAAAATACACTCGTATAGCGCCCTTCGTGTCGGAAAGACATCCTAGGTTTCACAAGTTAAGCAGCAGCCCTCCCCCCACCCCCCACGTTTCCACTCATCACACAGTGAGTGCAAATCAATACAATTCAACATTACAATTGTATAGCGCCTTTCACGTCAGGAGGACATCCCAAGGAGCTGGAGTGCATTTCAGAGACAGGCACCACTCGTGTCCTTGAGAGGTGTATGGACCGGAGGTCTCTCTGGGCACTGCCCGGCTGACGCTCCTTAAAAGTCTGTCGACAACGTTAGAATCAGAGAATTTGTCTGCAACATTCAGCCCATGGTACCTGTGTCAGCTCTCTGACAACTGTCTCTCTCTGTTCATCCATTCAGGTCCACTCCACAGATTTTTCCTGTTGTAGCAACAAAGCTGAGGGAGTTTTATTCTGTCTCTAACAGACCTGGCGCTAACCATGGAGTGCAGATGGACAGTGCAGAGAGAGTTTTGCTCTATCTCTAACCCGTGCTGTCGCTGACCTGGGAGTGGACAGACAGTGTAGAGGGAGCTTTACTGTCACTGACCTGGGAGCAAAGACACAAACACGCACACGCACGCACACATCCATCCTCTGGGCATCTAAATACAGTTAACACTTGTACTTAATACAATCAAATACTTCTAAATATAATTACCAACATCCTTCCATATGTTTCAGTTGTTGGTCAACGGGCTGTAGGGGGGAAAAAATGCGGGGAACGGGACTTTGTGAACCCCCTGTACAGGGCACTCCAGCGGGAGAACAGGGAATGATTTGCTCCAGTGTCGGGCAGTATGTGTCTCAGTGTCAGCTCTTGTAGAAGCAGTACCCTGGGCCCTGTTATTTCCTGGGTGGATGCAGTGTAGGTGTCCTGGGTCCGAGATGCTACCCCACATGAAGGGCCAAACAGCCAAGGGGTGAGTGACCAATTTTATTTGGGAGGATTGTTGGCCAAAACACCGGGAGAGAGCACCATGGGATCATTATCGTCCACCTGAACAGGCAGACGGGACCTCGGTTTAATGTCTCATCCGAAGGACGGAGCTTGCAATAAAAACCCCAGCGCTGCACTGGAGTGCCAGCTTAGACTCTGTGATTCCAAGACCCGATGTGAGGCTTGAACCCACAAATTCTGAGGTGAGCGTGCTACCCCTGAGCCAGGCTAACACGCACTTTAAATCTCGCTCTCTCTCTCTGACTCTGAGGCTGGTATCTGTCACCACTGCAATATCTCCTCTAAACTCCGGCATTACGCTCACTTGCTCCTTGTGAAATCATCACCCTTCCTTTGCCAAGCCTCTATTAGGTTACCGCCCGAGAGTGCTGTGTGATTAGAGAGCTTCAAAGAGGTGGGCAGCATGGAGCAGAGCACAGATGTTCTCATCTGCCAGGATTTCCTGCCTCCCATCCCATCCCATCAGACTAGCTCTGTCACTCGCGCTCTCACGTCTGAGCTCACAGTCCAGGTTGACACTCCAGGGCAGAGCGGGGGGTTGGGGAGGGGGCTGAGGCCCCGTCTGTTGAGGAAGATGTCAAAGATCCCGTGACACAATTTGAAAAGAAAAGGGAATTGCTCTCTCCCAATGTCCTGGCTTATTGTACAAGGGGGACACAGGCTCAGACACAGTATATTCTGTGAAACTCTTTGAAGCGTCTTGAAGATGTGATAAGACGCTACATCAAATGCAAGAATTATTATTATTAACCCATGGCTGGAACAGGTAGGGTACCAAGAAGGATGGTTGAGGCCAGGACACTGGGAGTCATTTTAGAAGCAGCTCGATGCTGTGATGTGGGGACAGTTGAGTGGGTGTTCAGGAGGGACGAGATGGGACGGGTCGATGGGTTTTCTTCACCTGAAGATCTTGTGTGACGGTGTGAAAGTGGAGGAGGAGAGCGGGACTGAGCTGTGTGTAATCTCTGACTCTGATTGCGAGCTGTGAGGTTTACGGGGTTGGGGGCGTGGGTATAAAAGCTGCAGAAACAAAGAGCTTTGTGTGTAAAGTGTTTGAAATCAATCAAATATTTACCAGCCCGCGGTAATTAAATGGTGATCTCGGCAAACAACAGGCGAACTTTGATCATGGCACGCTGGGACTTGTGCCCTCCAAACCCACAGTCACCAACCGTCCTTCAGATCCTCACACTGATCTACAAATCCCTTCACTCTCTGGCACCTCCTTAGCTTTTTGATCTGCTTTCTCCCCACTCCACAACCCGCTGCCTCCATCTAGCTGGCTCCAGCCTCCTGCTTGTCCCTCTGCTTCACCAGCGGTGGCCGCACTTTCAGCCATATACCCCGAAGGTTTGGAACTCTCTCCCCCAAACACTCCACCTTGCCCTCTCATTCCCCTCTTTCAGATCATGTCTGAAGATCTTCCTCTTCGCCCGTGCTTACCATCACCTCCTCCCTCCCCTCGACTCGGCATCAGACTACACCATCGTTAAGCACTCCGAGATGCTGCCCCACGTGAAGGCGCTATATAAATGCAAGTTGCTGTTCGGGTGAGATGTTAAACCGAGGTCCCGTCTGCCTATTCAGGTGGACTTTAAAGATCCCGCGGCGCTATTCGAAAAGAGAAGGGAGTTTCTCTCTCCCGGTGTCTTGGCCGACAATCCTCCCAAATACAAATTGGTCACTCACTCCATGGCTGTTTGTGGGACACTGCTGGGAGCAAAATGGCTGGTGTCTACAAAACAGTCACTACGCTGAACAATGAAGCACTTTGAGATGTACTGACCTTGTCAGGTGTGGCAATGGGAATCGCTGCCCACGGTTTGGTGTGTAAAGTTAGCGAAGGGAGTTTCTTAACACGAATGAGTGGGTGGAGGAGAGAGGTGGGGGTGGGAGGGGGGCTGCGAGGCAGATGAGTTGAAGAGCCTGTGTGTGGATGGACTGAGCCCTGAGATGGTGGGAGCCCAGTGACTGTCAGAGATTAATGGAAAGGATGTAAGAACAGATTCTCAGATTACAGAGGAACCAGGGCATGCTTGGGGCCAGCCTCTCCCGGGAAGTGCATGGCATTCCGTAACTGATCCGTTGACAGCTGACGCTGTGCCTGTCCGTATTGGATACAGAGATCCGGCATTGGGAATTCTAGCACCGGGAATTCCACCTCTATTCCTGGTCCGCACACCACCAACAACACTTATATAGCGCCATTCACTGAGTGCGGACATCTTACCCACGTGTAAGGAAGGCACTTTCACAGCACAGTGCCTTCCTTACACGGGGGGGGGGGGGGGTGGGGGGGGATATCTTGGAACATTTCCCAAATACTGGGAAATGCCAGACAGACTAAAATACATCCTGTGAGAAGCGTTATTCAGGTGTCAGCCCGGCTCACGCACTCACCTCGGAGTTTGTGGGTCAAACCCCACATTGGGGACTTTGAGCTCGCGGGCTATGCCCGCGCTCCAGCACAGGACTGGGGGAGCACTGCATTGTCAGAGACGCCGTCCTTCAGGTCAGACTTTAAACTGCGGTCCCATCTGTTCTGATGTTCCCCTAAATAATAATCTTCACACGTGATACATGCCTTTCCCATCTGGAGGACATCTCAAAGTGCATTCGAGAACTTTACTGTAACGTGTAATGACTATATTTTGTGGGCAAACCTGGCAGTCAATTTACACACAGCAACATCGCACAAACAACCGCAAAATGAATGACCGATTTTATCTTAGGGGATTGTTGGCCAGGACTGTGATAAATTCCCTTTCCCTTTTGTGTAGAGCTGTGAGACTCCAGTATTATAATCAATCTTTATTCATGGCTGTTTGTGGGATGTTGCTGAGCATAATTTGCTGCCACGGTTGTGTACAACCTACATAGTCACTATAATTTACAGTAAACCCTGGGAAGCTCTTTGAGATGTCCTCCCAATCTTTGACAATATGGCACTCCCCCATTGCAGTGTCAGCCAAGACTCTGAGCTTGAAGGCCTGACGTGAGGGTGTTGAAGTCACAACCTCCTGACCTCGAGGTGAGAGTGCTACCGACTGAGCCAGGCTGACAAATGAAATCTTCTCACTCTCCTTTTCACCGCTATGTTGGGGCCATAGGTCGCGAGATCTGTGAGGTCGCTTCCCAGGCTTGTGACGCAGTTGAGGGTGAGTGAGAGGGACCTGCTCCTGTTCGCTGTGCAACCTGAACCTTGTCCTCTTCCCCTCAGTGACAGCTGCCTGTCCCTGGGGCCAGGCTGTGTGCTCGGTACTCACTGACTGTCAGGCTGGCTGTGGGAACTTGTAGGTAAATAACAATTCTCACCTAAGACATAGGAACATAGAAACAGGAGGAGGCCATTCAGCCCCTCGAGCCTGTTCCGCCATTCTAGAAGATCATGGCTGATCTGAAGCTCAAGTCCAATTACCCACTCTTGCCCGATATCTCTTAATACCCTGACTTAACAAACAGTGAGTGTTGGCAATGAACACATCACTGCCCCAATCCTGACCTCGCTGGATCTTCACACGATGGACAGTGGACGGGTGATGTCGGTGCTTTGAGCACATGGTCTAGGCTGGTACTGATGCCCATGTAGAGGGACGCTGCATTGTCAATGTTTCACCCTCAAAATACCCCCAATCCACTTTACAGTATATCCTGTGAAGCGCTTTGAGACTTCTCATCGACGTGATAAGGCGCTACATCAAACATAAGGATGATTATCATTATTATTATTATTGTCAGAGGTGCCGTCCTTTGAATGAGACGTTAAACCAAGTTCCCGTCTGTGTGTTCAGGTGATGTTGAAGATCCCATGGTGCTACTGAGAATAGAGAAGGGAATTTCTTCTCTCTCCCGGTGTCCTGACCAACAATTCCCCCAAATATAATTGGTCACTCACTCCGTGGTCTTATTTGCCTGTGTAGGTCACAGGCAGATGGGGGGGCGGAGTGGGGGAGTGATGGGGGGGCAGAGTGGGGGAGTGATGGGGGGGGCAGAGTGGGGGAGTGATGGGGGGGCAGAGTGGGGGAGTGATCGGGGGCAGAGTGGGGGAGTGATGGGGGGGCAGAATGGGGGAGTGATGGGGGGGCAGAATGGGGGAGTGATGGGGGGGCAGAGTGGGGGAGTGATCGGGGGCAGAGTGGGGGAGTGATGGGGGGGGGCAGAGTGGAGGCGTTTGTGACCTTGTTGGTCTGTGACACAGACGAACCCAGCGGATAGACTGTGGCCGACACTCGATCTGCTCCTGAAGCTGATCCCAGCAGCACAGCCGGTGAATCCCAATAAACATGACAGTTGGCAGGAAATGTCAAACACGGAATGAGATGCCGCAGATCAGGAATTCCCACCATCACTGGATATACGCTCGCAGGGTTCTGTTTCTATCCCTCATGTCAAACTCACATCAGGGTCTCATCCCTTTCCTCCGCACCTAGCCCCCTCTCCATCCTCTTCTCTCCTCCCCTGGGTGGTGAATGTCGTGTGTGTGTGTGTGTTGGGGGAGAGGGGGAGGGAGGGAGTGGGGGCCCACTCGAGAAACCTTAGGCAAGTTTCCTTACTCCACACGCCTCTGTTTACCGAGCAGTACGTGGGGACCCGGTTGTTGGTCGATTGACAGATCGCTTTCCTGTAATATTTTTAAAAATGCGGTCACTCAATCCCCTGCTGTGTGCAAATGGCTGCCGCGTTTCGTCTGCAAAAGATATAACAACAACAACTTGCATTTATACAGCGCCTTTTACACGGGGGTAGCGTCCCGGAACGCTTAATTCAGTCAATTAACTCGACAGTAATAATAATAATAATCCTCGCATTTGATATAGCACTTTTCACGTCGGGAGGACGTCCCAAAGCGCTTCACAGAACACACTGTAAAGTGAATTGACTGTATATTTGTGGGCGAACGCGGCAGCCAATTGCGCACAGCAATGTCCCACAAATAGTCGTAGATTGAAAATGACCAATTTATTATTGTATACCCTGTGAAGCGTTTTGCGGTTCAAAACGCAAGGATTAGTAGTATTATTATTATTATTATTGAGCAGCTCCGAGACTTTACCCCTCGTGAAGGGCGCTGTGTAAATGCAAGGTGTTGTTGTTGGTGTTGTTGCTGTTGCTGCCAGCGTGCTGTGTGGCCGGTCCGGGGCCTGCGGGCTGCACGAGCGGGGGGTCAGGGTCTGTAATGGATGCAGCGCTAGCTTCATCTGTGCCTCTGTGCGATGTGCAGCCTGAGAGACTCCATTCAGCCTCACACCGAGTCCAGCTCAATACCTCACGCTTGACAGCCCATTCACAAGCCTA